GGACTGAGAGACCCCCCCCAGAGTGAGGGACCCCCCCAGGGCTTAGAGACCCCCCACAAGCGACCCTGCCACAAGGCCCACTGAGGGGGGAGACCCCCAGAGAGACCCCTGGGGTGAGGGACCCTCCCAGACTGAGAGACCCCCCCTCCAGGATGAGGGATTCCCCCCACCCCAAACCTCAGACGCACCCCGCCCCCCCAGCCCGAGGGACCCCCACCAGGGGAGGGTTCAGCACCGGGACGGTCCTGGAAGGAAATTTTGGGACCCCCCAACCTCAGAGACCCCCCGCCCTGAGGGAGGGTTTATGTCCTGGAGGGGAACTTTGGGACCCCTCAAAAGCGTAGGGGGCGTGGCTGGAGCCCCCCCACATTCCCCATGGGGGTCTCAGCCTCATTTTTGGGGATGCCTGTCTCATTTTTGGAGTCTCAGCCTCATTCTCGTGATCCGCCTCTCATTTTTGGGGGTTCTCTTCTCATTTTTGGGGGTCTCAGCGTCATTTTTGGGGGCGTACTGTGGGAACGTCCCTCATTCCTGGGGGGGCAGGGATGGATTTTAATAAAAGAGGTGGAAATGGAGCTCGGGTCTGGTTTTGGGGGTCCTGGGGGGGTCTTAAGGTGTCTTGGGGGGGTTTTGGAGGGTCCTGGGGTGTTTAGAGGGATCCTGAGGGGTTCTGACGGGGTCATGGTGAGTTTTTGGGGGGTCCTGAGGGTTTGAGGAGGTCCTGGTGGATTGTAGGGGGTCCTGAGAGGTTTTGGGAGGTCCTGAGGGGTTTTGGGGAGGTTGGACCACGTGGGAGGGCGGGGAAGGGGCGGGGTTTGCGGGTGATTGACAGATAAAGGGTGGGATTATACGGGGCGGTGCTTCTCTCCCCGGCTCCGCCCCTGGCGCGTCTGAGCCAATAGGAAATTAGGTCGCTCGCTGCAGCCAATAATAAGGCGGTGTGGGTGGGGTTACGACTCGCACCAATCAGCGCTCGGCGTCTCCTCGCTGCTCCCTCCCACCGATGATTGACGCACCGTCACCCAATCAGCGCTCACGTTTACTTCGAGCCGCGCCTTCCCCCTCCGCTAAACCGACACCTCGGCCAGCCAATCACCGCTCTCCCCCCTCGCCTCCCTCCCCCAAAACCAACCAATCACCTCCCTCCCTCCCCGCCTCACCCAATCCCCGCTCTCCCCCTCCATCACCATGGCAACCCCCATCCCGCCTCCCCCTCACGAAGCCGGAGAGACGAAAGGCGGGACTTCCCCCTCCCTCTCGACCAATCACGACGCTCCCCCTCCTCCGCCGACCAATGGCGCGGCGCGGCGCGGGCGAGGCGGAAGCGCGCGCGGGGTCGGAGGTCGCGGCTGTTGATGTTGACACGGCCCCGGCGGCCGCAGCGCCCGCGGCCCCTCAGCGCCGGGGGGGCCCGAGCAGCGCCGCCCGCGGCCCCCGGCCCGCCCCCCCCCCCCCGCGAGCCCCGCCCCG